GAAACATCTGTCTGGTTTCCAATACGTTTCTCCAAACTCATCGAAGAGTGCATCGTCCTGCAACAAGATAGTTATGTCAATAATGCTGCTGGAACACGGGAGCTCCTCGTTTCTTAAAAGTGAGTTTTCTTGAACAGCCAAGTCAGACATCTGGTTTAATTTCAAATAAGGAACACTTCCACATGTAGAAGAAGAAACATAAAATGAAAACAACCCTCACAGGGTTGAGCACCAGATACAATCAACTTAGCATGAAAACTTTTCTTATGCTGTCTGTCGCTGGAACGATATGTATGCTAAAATAACCTGACAAAAATGCAGTTATTGGATGGTATTGAAAATCTCCATATTTAAACAGCATAAGGGAAGTCACATACACAATAATTCTCAGTAGGGAGACAGACCAACAATGAGGAATAGATAAAAATATACCAATTGAGCTACAGTGCCTACAGCACCATGTTTCATATGGACATTACAGTTTAATAATAAACGTCTGTCGTGTTGTGCAGTGATGTGCAGTCTTAGAGGGAGAGTAAACTGAAGGGAAGGAGGGAAAAAAGTTCTTCATTAAAATGGAATTATAGCATTAGCGGCCATCATTTCACTGCCACACCTCACATGACAGCATTCCCACACATACACACCCTCCTCTGATCCCCTCTGGTGTAAATGTCAACCTAAGCCTTTGCTCTGAATAGGGACTTGCCTCTCTGCGCTGCTGCCAGTGTAGAGTCCTGAAGTGCGTACACAGGCTCAGGCACAGTTTATAAATCTGCCTCAACATGTGCTTTCTTAGCCATGCTTAAATATTGACATGGTCTGACCTGCAAATAGAAGGCTTCTTCCTTTGGACCTCTAATGAACTGGTAGCTCGGAGGAATTATTAAGTGACAGCCAGAGTGAAATAAAATAGTTGTTCACAAACTTCCAAGTGGAACTTTTGCCCATGTCCACCTAAATCTAAGTTGTGGAAAAAAATGTGAAAAAGTTGAAGTGGTACAACTGTTAATCTTTTAATTATCAGAACAGGTTTAGTTTAAGAGAACCTCACAATTTTTAAGCTTTTTTTTTTTCTTTTACAGGCTTGTTGATTTTTCACTTCTGTCGCTTATCTACAGCGATAGACTCTGTGTTATCTGACAGGGTAGATGACTCTTGCTGAGCTTTGATGGAGTCAGACATTAGTAGTAGCAGTAAAACAAGTCAGATAATGGTGAGAAATAATGAGACAGCAAGGCAGCAGGCTCCATCTCAGAGCGCGGTGGCAAACAGCCTCCAGGGATGGGATGTAAATAACTAACTTTGTCTTATATGTGTTTCAAGGTGAACTTTCATTCCTTATTGCTTCCAGCTGTGGGCTCTTCACTAGTTACATGTGGTTTATGAGAGTGAAGATTTGGTTTTAGGTTTATGATTAGAATAAGATGATACATTTTTGAGACGGTTGGAGCAACTGCAGAATACCTTACAAGCCATATGTACCAGTCAATTGAGTCTGTAAAATGTCAAATACATATTTTTTAAAATCTAAAACTGTTAAATCTACTTCTGTACATTTGTTTTTTCCTCACACAAAGGATTAGAAATAAAACTTTCCCGAGAAACTGAGATCTGGTTGAACTGGAACGCTACTTAAAAGTAAAGGTTAAAGAGACTGAGAAATGATAGTAAGTCAATGTAATGTCCTCTGAAGACATGAAAGCACATTTCTCGTGAGGTGGAAGTTTCAGGGGAGCATCGATTACTGCAGCAAAGCTTGGGCATTACTCTCTGAGCTCTCACCTTTTACCACTTTAGCCTTATCATTTGAAAAACACAAAGGCTTGGCCTTTTCTTCTTTGTCGTGTGAGTTGAGTCTTAGCTGTGACAACACAGACTTCTCGCTCCCTAAGCCGCGCTGCTTTGTCTTTTATCAGCATAGGAAGCTCAGAGGACAGATCTCGGGAGACATTCAGTTCCAGAGGGAGAGACAACAACACAATGCTATAGAATGTTGAGTCAATATGCAAAAAAGAACTCCTTGTCCACCTCTCACTATCTGACAGTACTGGGGTTAGTTTATATGTGATTATGTACGTGCTGAGAAAAGGTATAAAGTGTATGTGGAGGAAGGAGGTGACGCCGAACAAACAGCTGCATCTTCTTTGCACAGCTTGAAAGACTGAATGAGAAATAAGTGGACACATGTACATTTTCTAATAGTGAATCTCCATGGCTGAGATGTTGACAGGTGGATTTAGCTGTCGCAGCAGGACAGCTGTGCACTCTGCTTCACTTCTTTCAACTAAAGACAATCACACAATGTATTAAACACACAGTGACTCATCAGGGGGACATCCGGTCTACAGATGAGGAGTTTTTGTTTAGTTATGCAAGGAGTGAGAGTGCTGATAACCAAGTGGTTATAATGAATAATTTAAATTTGACCATATTTTATTCCATATGTGTATGTATTGGTGGTAATGGTGGAGTCGATCTCCTAATGTATCTCATAATGATTGTCCAACACGCCAGCAAATAAAATTTAATAAAGTTGTGTTGTTTTAATTACTACCTGGAGATAGATAAGACAAACAAATAGAAATGCTGAAATCAGATGAAACAAAAACCACAGTGGCATGCATGTTTTTTTTTTTTTGCCTTACTACAGTACTTATCTCCCATTCAACTTCTTATTTTGTCTCAGAAAAAACATTTATTTTATAAAATATGGAATAATTGTGATGAGGAAAGAAGAGGACATTTATATATATATATTTTAATTCTGCTCAGAAGATAACTATTCTGTGAAGGTCTCTGTGTTTCAGCCAACATTGGTGAATATTCAGGATCACACAACTCAAGAAAACACTTGAAATGTCAGAAATGAAGTTGTGCAGCTGCATGCAAGAGCTAATGCAAGTATAACCTATTCCAAGTTGAATTTATTTGATTAATTATTTAAATTCCCCCTGTGTTTAATAAAGTATTTTTTTTATTTTGCAGAATAAGCATATGTTATAAGAACCAATACTCTTTAATCATTCACTAAAGCAGCAAGAAGAAAGCTTATTAAAGCATCCTTGAATTATTGCCCAGACAATGGAGAGAGTCTTCCCAGCACTCCAGGAATGTGTATCTACTTTCACTTAATTTCATCATCCATCTACAACGTGGGTCCATTTAAGAATCAAATATTTTCTCATTACTTGTGGGAAGTCTCTCTCACTCTCTCACACACCCATAGAGCGAGTTGCTGTGTGTCCTCTTGCTTTCAAGGTTAAACTGGAGTTCCTGTGACGCTCACAACGCATTTGCATCAAACCTCAAGCCAACAGCTGCCAATTAACACACAGCCTCTCCGCTAATACACACACGTCACTGCCACTTAGAGAGACAGAAGATCTCTCTCTCTCTCATAGCAGGCAAAATGCTGCAGCATGCAAACACTCATGAAAACAAGATTTAGGTGCAGGGTGGACATAACGGACTGGCTAATTGTTTTCAACAGGAGCAGTGAGCTGGGGAAAACGAGAGCGCTGCAGACATGCACCAAGCAAGATTTTCAGCATTTGTTTTGTCGTGCAGTTACAGTAGACAGGTAAAAAAAAAAAAACTGTGGTTGACTCAGTAAGCTCTGACACACAGCTCATAACAATCCTCACATGCCAACACTACTGCAGGTAGCTGCAGATAAAGAGAGGTCAAACTTCCGTGCATGGGTACATATGTATTCAAACTACGCTAAAATTTGAAGCAATGCAATCTTTATAACACTTTTTTGTGTGCACTTGAAGTCATCCACCTTAAAAAGCCTCAACTTTTTGTTGGGAATAATCTGTGCACTGTCAGACACACAATTCAGAAGCTCTGAATGAGAATAGCAGTGGAACTGTGGGAAAATAAAGATAACTCTGCTCTATTACGCACATGCCATACAAATACATACACAGCATAATCCAAACATAACCTTCAGACAACAAGTGAATAAGTAGCAGACATGTTAATGACAATTTATTAATGAAGGTAGCCACTAGATGGCATCATCCTTCCTTTCATTTCCAATTTTCATTCTCATTTGTCAGCCGAATCTGTTAAAGAAAACCCGCATGCACTCTAAATACTAAACAGACCACTAATATTAATTTGCTTCACTTAAAAAATAAGGGAAAAAATATATTTGTTATGAAGTCATTAGAGGCTCTGCTTGACCCTTTAATAGCCGTGTGTGATTGTGTCCATGTTTAATTTTGGGTTTTTTTTAAGTTCTGCATAGCTTTTAACAGACATGTAATTTCTGTCTCTAGATGTCTAAAACCAGCAGACAGCAAACCCCAAAATTCTTGAAGCTGTATTTGCAGTTAAAGGTGAATATGCAAACTACTGATCCATACAGGGATGATGTTCACTTTCTAATTATGGACTACTTTGACATTTACAGTTTTAATCTGCTAAAATGTTTAAAAGTCTTGGGGGTGTGAATACTTTTATAAGGTTTTGAAAATGCAACACATTCACCCTGAGGTTTTCTCTGCCATATTTTTCTCAAGCCTCACATTATCTTGCAGAATGTGACTGTGCCAAGTTTCAGAGAGACTACAGTTTATCTACTGACCAATCAATCAGTGGCACTCAGCTTGTGGGAGGTCTGCTGTATTCAACAAGACTCGAGTCAGACAGTCAATACAATGACCTTCATCCAAACAAAAGATTAGCCGAATCTGATAGGCACACTAGGCATTCTGGCAGACTCAAAAGAAAAACAAGGGGATCCAAAGAAGAAATCAAAGCTACTAAGAGCTTTTTTTTCCTGTTTGTAAATGAAAGTGAGGTTTAACAAGCTTCACCAGACATGTTGATGTAATGTAAAATATTTTGTATTTTAGAATTAAAAAAAAAAAAAACTTATTACTTATGGTAATACTGTCTCAATCTTGGATAGTTATTCATGACAAAATCCAGAACAAGAGCTGAAGATGATTTGGGTAGAAAAATATTAGAATTATGCATTATAAACTTTATTCATGCTAAATTATTAAATACAAGTTGAAAAAAATATGTTGTTACAATAAAAACTTTCAGATGAATAAAAGTATAATTGAAAAGTTAATTTAGTTCAGTAACTCCACTCAAAATGTGAAACTCATAAATATGGCATAATTTTAGATGGTAAATTTGGATGGATAAAGCCTACAGCTAATGAAAACCTAAAAACTAGTTCATCAGAAAAATTAACATTCTCGAAGTCTGGAGTAAGAAAGTAAAATGAGAGACACAGACTCATTGATACAGATGACTTGAAGGTCACCAGTAAAGTCTCCTGGACTTCCTCAATATCTCAGCATAGGCACAGGATGAACACCTTGATGCTGAGGTACCACACTGCACTCAGAAAAACTAAGTCCATTCACATATTAAGTACATATAAAGAGCAGGCCAACATTTCTTTATCAAAAAATTACAAAATTACATTTTCTAAGAAACAATTTTGGGGGGGTTTCAACACCTGCAAGCTAAAATAACCAGATTTAACAGAATTTCTAATATTTTGTGTAATGAAAGTTCTACTTTTTGAGTTGAATTATTCAAATAAATTCACCTTCCAATGATAATCAAATCGCTGCACCCGCATACCATAACAAACATCCATAAACAACTGCAGAATGCAGTTTAAGTAAAGTTTAAAGTCATAAAATAGTATAAATGTGCAACAAAACCTCTAGTTTGGCACTGTGCCATAAAGAACAGACAACAAATAAAATTAGGATTCTTCAGTAAACTCGTTGAGCTGAACCGAGATTGAAGATCAAAGTCACTGATTACTTCTTCTTTTTGCCTTTCTTGCCAGATGAAGGAGTGGGTGGAGCTGGCATCTCAGCCTCCTCCTGAGCTGGTTTCACTTCTTGCTCCTTTATCAGCGATAGCAGACGGTTGCAAAATTCTTTGTAATCTTCAGATAATTTCTCGCTGGTCTCCTACACACAAAATGGAAGCAGAGAGAAACAAATGATTGGAAGATGTCAAACCAGTGATAGATGTAGTAAACTTAGCTCATTATTGTTTTTTTTTTTGTTGTTGTTTTTTTCAAATAATTACAGATGACACTTGTATTCATTTCACTGACCAGCACTTTCTCATACGTCTCAAGGTGACGCTTCTTTAGCTCATATTGTTCCATCATGTGCTGCCTGTAGTGCTCCATAATGCTTTCACGGGCCATCCGGTAGTTGTGGATCTTGTCATAAAGCTTCGCCTCCCTGGCCTCCTCTCCCTTTGGGTCCAATAGCTCTGGAATATCTTTCTGGCGTCTGCATCCAAGCAGAAAGCCTTATTGAAAACATTGCAAGCACGTATGTGTGCATCACAATTAACAGACATGTTCACGTTTCACATCTTTCAGAGATGTAACCTTTCAGAATGAACATTCATGAGTAAGTAGCACATTTTGGCTCAAATGTATTCATTGACAGTGCACGGCAAAACGTTTTTTAATGTGACATTGTCCAAACTCCAGAGGCTGAGTCCTTCATGTCCAAAAAAAAGCTCAAATTGTACAATAGTTTTCTCTACAGCACGTGTCAAACTCAAGGCACGTGTCAATCCAGCATGCCCTGATTTGGTCCCCGCAATTGAGGCTGTGCACTTTATTTTCATGTGACATCAAGTCACTATTTCTTATTTTGGCATATCAAAAATTATTTTATATGCATCTAATCCTGAAATTATGAAGAAACAAAAAATGTGTTGCTTTTGCTTTGTATAGTGCATGCCATTTGGATCAATATTATGGAAATTTCAGCGTTTAAAAAGACTGATTTTTTTATTTTTTTGTAACATAATTAAAGATTACTTGACCAGCTGAGGATAAAAATTCTATGAGTCTGATAAAAAGTGGAACTGCCATCAATTGGAGCTGCTCCACCATTCACCATGCAAAGGTCAGTGCATTTTCATTAGTGCAGGCACAGTGTCTGAATAGTGGGTCATTGTTGCCATATTGAAGTGTCATTTGGGTAATTTTCATTGCATCAGCATGTGATGGATATGTCTTGTATAATGTCTCAAGGTTCATTAAATGACACAATAGCCAGTTTTAGCTGGACTGAAATGGTTCTCAAAATGTATACTGTGTTTTTAATTTTGTGCAGAGCAACCAAAAGTGGAACCATTAACACTTCCGTTGTAATTTAGAGTTGTACTTTAGATATGTACAGCTGAATTACCCAGAAATAAAACTAAGTAGAAAAGCAAGGAAAGAGGGCAGTCTTCTATTGATAGGCAAATATACGGATGAGTTACATTAGCATATTTATAGATCCTTATTTACAGAATGTGGAAAAGATGTGGAATTATATGTCCATCTGTGAACAAGAAGTGACAAGGAGCATTAATACGAAAAGGACAGATTGAAGATTTGAAAGGGGAAAAAAATAAGTGCAAATTAGCTAATTACACAGACAGCTGTGGTTCATGGAGGAAAAAACTGCAGGTAAGATCTCAGGAGCAACACAGTAAATTTCAAAGATGTACAAAGGACAAAGCTTACAAGTAGACACAGGCAGGGCAGCAGAAAAGAAACTGAAGAGACATTAAATACACAGGAAATGTGTGGAAACCATTCATAATCAGGGAGAAGCTGAACAGCTGAGGAAAATGCTGAGCAGGGAACAGAGGGAAGGTGGCGCTAAAACAAACTGGACACAGAGGAAGCAGAATCAAAACCCAACACACACCAACAAACCATGACATCTATAATTTAATGGCTGACTTACAGTTGTGAAAAAATAGGAAACCCAATTAAAGTTCTGCAAATAGTGGGACAACACTGTATAGCATAAGTAGTACATGGATAACTTTAGGACTGCATTTTTACTTGATTTAATTTACTTTGAATTGTTCAAATTACTAAAATAACTGAACATTTTAATGACATCCTCATTTATTCACATCAAATTTATTGAGCACGCTATAAATGTTTTTTCCCATGCAAATGGCTATTTTAACCTGAGGGGAGGAGAAAGTCAGCAAAGGTAAATGAGCAAAAGCCTTCTTGTATCTTTGTCACGGTGTGAGAAATTGCTTAAGTCTGAATTAGTATAACACAGTGTCCTGTCGCACAAATATGTACGATTTGTGCACCGCTGGTTTCAACCGATGCCTCTCAAGGACCACTGCTTTGGATCACTATCTTTTCTAAAATTGCTGGAAAAGGTGTCTCCAGTCATACGTGCCTGGACATAGTAACACACCTGGTCACACACACTTGCAAGTGTCACAAGAGGATAAGAAAGGTGACTGAAAAAGGGCACATCTCTTTGGAGCAACGAACTCGTTGGGGTTCGAAAATAGCTCTCTAATTAACAGACCCAAATATTATCTCATTTGTCCTGTAGAGGGATGGACAATGGGAGAGCTGAAGAGAGGGAATGAAAGAAGGCATGTGGGAGATCCAGTGGGAACTCAGGTGAAGACTTTACTCTTAAAAATACTGACTATGACTAACGGCAATATTCATCTAATTTAAGGTGTTATTTGAAGGTTGAGACTAATCACACATAGTAAATGTGGAAAAATAACAAAGCTAGGACCAAGCTGTGTGAATAACCACCACTCTTTAGTTGATTCATAAGCAATTATTCAAAACTTGCCCTCTGGACAGGATGTACTGCCCTTTCAAGATGTGGAAAAGTCAAGGGACATCTTTCTTCACTGCACTAATAAGAGCTAAGTTCACTTAAGGGAAATTACTCAAAGTTTTTTGGGTAGCTTTTAATCCACTCTTTGTTACAAAAATGCATGTTTCTACAATGCATTACGTAACCTGGAACATCAATGTCTAAACACAAAATATCCCTCTCTAAAATGAAGTCTTAGTACATCTGCAACTGCAAGTAGAAACAGTGTGAGCTGCAATCGAGAAGCAAAAAGAGCGAAAGCAGACCTGAACAAATGACTGAACCGTGAGTACAGATCTGGCGTAGCTGGGGTGATCATTTCACTGCTGGATGGCCTGGGCTGGATAACTTGATCAGAGACCGGTGAAGCTGCAAAGAATTAAATCATTTTATTTAAAAGAATAGAAGACAAAAACGCTAAATAAATCATTTTAAGTCTTTGTAGAATAATGCCATTACTTCTTTCAGGTGAAGCAGGTTGACCACCTTCCAGTTGCTTAACTTGTTTGAGGAACTGGAGGCGAGACTGAGAAGCCTACAACAACAGAACATCGTCTCTCTAGCAGTCCATATGTATGAGCAAATAATGCATATTTTCATTTGTGGTAGGAATTAAAATTATCACTGGATTTGAAATCTCTCTCTGGGTTATCTGGGCTACCTTTTCAAAACGCCCTGGATCGGTCATTTCCCAGGCTTTCTTCATAGATTTAATCTGGTCAATTCTCTCTGTATCTCTTTTTACTTCAATTCTCTCTGGGCTGCTCTGGTCAATGGCGACACGCAGTGTGTAATTTGGCTTAGTCAGGTCCAGGTTCTATGCAGAGGTACAAACACAAACAAGATAAAGATCATGCTCACCTCAACAAGCACAAACTGAAGGTCATTGTTCTGCTATTTATAATGCTTTTTTTAAATTAGAAATTAATTCTAGTTATGTTATATTACTAGTAATTAAGTTAAACAGTAACAATTGTCAGACAACCTTCTTCTACCTCACAGATTTAAAATGAATAAATATGATCTGCCCAACATTGTGACTATTTTGTTGGCTTAAGATAAATTTTGTGATACATTACCGATTCTTGCTTGGAAACAGATATGGAGACAGTACTCTTTCCTCTGTGCCTCTCAGCTTCACCTTTTCGGCTCGATTTTTGTGTTTCAGGCCTGGTACCATTCTGGCCTGATATGCCGATTCTAGACGAAGACTTAATATCTCCAGGCTTGAACACTGAGTGTTAAAGAGAGTAGGAAAACATTTTTTTTTTTTTATTTTGCCTGATGTCATTTGAACATTAGCTTAAGAACAAGCAGTCCAAGAAAATGCTTCGAAGCTTTAGAAAATAGAAATATTTTACAACAGGTTGGACTGTTTTGCAAACCCTTTTAATTCAATGTTAAACTGTTATTTTTACATTTTACAATTTTTGTTTGCTCTTTTTCAATGAGATATTCTAAGATGAAAAGAAGCAGCAGCATTTAAAAAAGTCATTTTCATTTCCTAATAAAAATAGTTTTTCAGTCTTGTTTAAACAAGTAAAGGAGAATGACTAACATGTGTTGTGCAATCACATGTATGCTAGATGGCACTGTTGCACTTCAAAAGCTAAAACTAACTGTCTTCCAAGTTTCAATGCAGTGAATCCTAGAATTTTAATCATCATTTAGCTGTCTTGACATTCTCTTTTTGAAGTACTTTGATAAATTCTCCTATGGCTGTAGAAATTTGTTGCTCTTATTGTATCTAAATATATGTGCATTGTTGCAAAATAAATATAACTGTGGGTTTGTTAAAGCATTAGTTTCAGCTAAAATTGTGTTTTCATGGTAAAAGTTCCAGAGTCCTCAGTAAGTGCAATTATTGTTGGTGGCTGTTTTAATGGAGAATAAAGAATACATAGTTGACACATAATATTGTGTATGTGCCAAACACAGTGCAGTGTTTTAATTGCATCATGTTAGATAACTTGTAAATTAGGCTTAAAAGCTTTGCATGGCATGCACTACATGTGTATTTGTGTAGCGTGATGGGAGCATGATCAAGGGCACAGTTCCACCACTGAGACAGAGTTAAACTGGGTGAAATTAATCCAGTCTTCTGCTTGGATATTTCCCTGGGCACCAGGGGGCAAGAGCCAACTTCATTTGACATCCCATTGACCCATTTCTACAAAATTATCTGAAGAACACAGGAGGTTTTTGAGGACTGACCCCTTCATAGACATATGAACAAACTCAGTGACAAAATGCTGAACATTCTTGATAGGACAAGTAATAGTGATATTGTGTCTAATCATTTAGCGATTTAAATCAAACAACAAAGAAATTGTGATGATACATCATAAGTTGCGTCAATACTATTTTTGGGGTAGTATTAACTTCTTACACAAAATACAAATATTTTATGATATATTACAAGGGATATAATATTGAAATATGCTCTCATATTTAGCATATTTTAAGATGATAAGCTGAGTTGAGAAAAGGTAGTAGATCCCACTCTTTGAACAAATAATAAAATACATATATTTTAGCGTTGCTCATAAGCATAGTTGTACCTTGTACTGCAAGTCATACTGGAAACAAATGTATTCAGTTTATCTAATTTAACATCCATCCGTTGTCTAAATGGGTGACATCAAATGTCAATTGAAATCAGATGTCGACACAGACTTTAGAAAATTACTCTCTTTTTCACCTTACATTTTATCTGATGTTTATTTAGAGAAAAGTTGTCAAGTTTTATGCTTGTAAGGTGTATGAAACTTTTACTTCTGCTTGCTAATGCATTAAGGGACAGAGACCATAAATATTCAGGAAAAAAAGCCTACAAACCTAATGCAGTTATGCCTGATCTGAGAGGAAGTGTGAGCAAAAAGTCTAGCAAATTGTGTAAACCGTGTGGAACAAAACCTAAAATGTCTGACCCGAGGCAAACAATTTAAAAGCAATTCTACTAAAATCAAACAAAATGTATATAAATTTAAAACTTTAAAGGAAGGAATATGTTTGTCTGTATTTACCAAGGAGGCATATTTATTCTGGAATAGTTTCTAACGCAGCTAAAAAAATTTTTTATATATTTTTATTAAGAGTATGTGAACATCACATTTCAACTGGAAATGGAAGCAAAATTGTCAAGTGTAACAAACGCAGTCAGAATTCAATGACAGCAAATTGGCCTTTTTCCACAGGCAATCATACATACTCTTCCCATGCTGATCTGTTTCACAGCAACACAGCTGCACTCAATGAATTTTCTTCAAACTGTTCAAAGGATTATATTCAATTTAAACCAATATCTTTTCTTTTTTCTTTCCAACTGATCTTATCTAATGGTTAAAATTAGAAACCCAGATCCAAGTTCAGATCAAGATTCACTTGAGTGATTTGCCGTTCTGGCCATGCTAGGGGCTATTGAGAATAGCTGTTTGGTGTGGCATCTACATACTTTTTAAGTAGTATGTACCTCTGATTTCATTCTTCTTCATTTCTTGTAGCATATGGACAAATTCCAGCTGGTTTTCATCCAAATGCCAGGTTCTACAGAGCATCTCTGCTTGCACCACATACTTATGATCCTGGGAAACACAAATAAGCAAAGATTCACATAAAAATATAGCATTGCAATATATAAACAAAGAATTTCACACACTACAAAAAAGATGCATAGATATATGCAGCATACAGCAAAATAAGCATAAACATATGATACAGTAAAAAAGATGCTTTAAAGCACAAGATTTAACTTTAGCTATTCCGTATTTTGACAAAATCTCATAGGGAGCAAAAACAAAGACCCGGTTAGTTAACATTAAATCATGAATGTGAAAGGAAAAAAACGTTTCAGAACTTGAGAGCCACATTTTTTTTTCTCCACTGGAGGGGAGAAAATTTCTTTATTTGTACAGGCATGCACTTTAAGCAAAAGTATGCTATTACTTTTGGCAGTATAGTGTATGTTTTGGTGAATGTAAATCAATATGTGTGAGCATTCTTACAAATCAGTATGCAGTAAGTAAAACTGATATGGACGGCAGAAACTAACTAGGTGAGAGGGACAAGCATAGAACGTCTTTGTACCGGAATGGAGTCAGAGGGCAGGTCTGATTTTTCAGCTACAGCTTCTACGCTTTGTCGCCTTCCCCTCTTGGAGGCTGTAACACAATATTCACATCAGTTTATATCTGAAGTAGAAATTGATGAAGCACAATAGTTGACCATAGCAACATATTCATTCAACAAGTGTGAGTCTCCATTTGGGTCTTTTTTTAAAGTGCAGCTACACACATAGCTAGTTGGTTTGCAGTTGTGACATAATTAATTTTAATTGGCGGGGTGAATAGCACAATCAAGTAACTATGTTACCTTCAGTTGTTATAAAAGTTATATATTTTAAGTATAACCCAAAAGAAATTTGACTTTGTAATTTAACACCTTAAAATTGGGCCTCTATCTCTTTAAGAAAGGACTGCTCTTTAACACTACGCCCTCATCTATTAACCTTCTAGGAGCATTTTTAACAGTGTTGCTCTAAGAAGTAGCTAATATAATGAGCTCAGCAAATGTGCAGTTCCACCAGGTGTTTGCTAATTGCTGCTGGCTAGTCTGAAGGAGCTGAGTGGAGGAGTCACAGGGGAGGGCTGCTCTATGAGGCAGAAACTTCAAAGATTGTAAACTGCAGCTCTGAGGAGGAGCTTAGTCCTCGGTTCCCCCAAGTGTTTTACACAGCTGAATGGTTGCCACGGGATATTAAAGGATTTCTCAAGCATGCATTAAAGAATCAAAAGAATCAATGCAGCACTCCAGGTATGTTTTTGATGAGGGAATATCACTAGAACATGCTGTGAAGTTTAAAAAAAAGGTTATTTTACATAATACTGCTCTTTTAAACATATATATAACTTCAACCCTGATCTGTTTGCTAGTTTCCTTTGTCTCCATGAAGATGTTTATTTGCTAATGTGGGCTTTATTAGGTGTATGAGTGTAGAAAACGCAAGTCACACTATGCTTTTCAGTCAATTTTATATGCATCACTTTAGGATGTTTAAATCTCAAATGAAACTCTGATCTCTTTACACTCGCCAAAAGACATTAAAAGCATATAAATATATTTGAGACATTTTAACTTTCGGCCACACGAAGAACTTGAATCAAATTTTTTTTCTCATAATACAAAAGATTTGAACAAAAAGTACTGAACTTACCCAACTGTTGACCTTTGTTTGCCTTGAAGAAGAATACAGGTAGTACAACGAAGCCCCTCCCAGTGATGCCAGCCATCTCCTCCTCTTTGTCCAGAACAGACAAATGTATCAAAACGTTTTGGTCAGAAGTTTCAAACTGAATTGTGCCCATACCATCTGCCATCACCTGAACACTGTAACTGAAAGAAATTTTCAGAAAATCAGAGTTATTTTTTAGTTTCAGACGAGTATTACCTTTGGCCTGTCCATACTTTCTTAAACTGTTAGTTTAACATAATTTCTCTTCTCACCGACATATAAGATTTTTGTCGCTTGGAATGTAATAATCTTGGAATTGCTTCACTGAGAACGCATTGAGAGGAACTTCACGGCTCAGTTTTGGAAGTGGTTCTTTTAAACCGATCAACCGCATCTTCCATTTGCTATCACTGAGATAGCATCCAGGTTTAACCACCTCTGCAACAAACGTATAACCAAGCTGCAAAACAAAAATTAAGAATGTAAATATAACAAAAGATTTTCTGGTGCTTTGAGGAGGAAGGTAGAACAAATCTATGTATCCACAGACCTTATTGGGTTTATAAACATGGGGCAGCACTTTGATCATCTCGATTTCCTCTCCCGTGTCATTGTTAACAACATGCAGACAACAGTTAGGAACTGGAGAGAAGATCGTCGGTACCAGCAGCATCTCCGTTGGAACAATGAATATTTCTCTATATAAACAACAACTTCTGCTGTTGAGTAATTATTTTAAAAGACAAAATTTAGAGATGCAACAAGAAATTGCCCTCCAACCAGAATTGGCCAATGTTTGAGCTTGACTTGACACTGATTGGTGATTGATTGATCTTTTTGTGTATCAGTCTTGGTGACTTTAAAGACTGGCAGGGATTACATAAGAATGACACATTGGTTTATTTAGGAAGTGAAAAATTATCTGGTAAAATTACACTTTCAGCAGGTAACGTGAAGCCTACCAAAACATTTGACTGTATTGTCATTGTGGTGGCTTGTCAGAGTGATTTTGAATTACCTAACATATAAGACATATTAAAGGTTGATAGAAAACTGTTAAATTTACAAACCTAGCCTTTAAAATATAATTGTTCTCTAACCTGAAGACCAAAGTCCAGGACTGGTTTGTGTCCAGGAAAGAGACGGTATAATCAGCAAAGGCGATTCTGGACGATTCATCCTCCAGACAGGAGTACAGTTCTCGTTCCTCCCCTAAATTATCAATAATGTATCTGGGCAGGAAAGACAGAAATCAGAACATACTTAAAAACTCAAAGAAATGTTCATCAACACAATTTCTAAAAATTTATTCTCAGAATAAATCAATTTTTACACCTTAGCAGAAAGTGAATGAAAGTTTCTAAGTATAGCACATGAATAAAAAGCTACTCTGGAGAGGAGGAGATGGCGTTTTGTTGTCTCTCAGTGTGGAGTAGATGCTTCTGTCAGCTAAGACAAGCACATGCTTAAAGGTTGACAACAGCCAAAAAAATGCCCCCTCTGTCCTCCATACACACATCGACTGAGCTTTCAGTGTTCATGCACATATATACATCCCCGGGCAGCGGGTCATTCGACAGACGCTGCAAGCTGATTGGTACAGGGTGAGTATAAACAGCAGATGGTACCACTGGGAAAAGATGGAACACAATGTGGAAAATACTCCCTGCATGGCCCCCACAGGCTGCCACAACCAGGAGAGGGAGCAAACTCTGGGTATGCGGTAGATTAGAGGCAAAGTATATGATCACACAATCTACACAATATTCACAAAAAACTGAAGCTGGAATGATGCTACATTTTCTCTAATGTTGGTAATTGTCTCCAAATTTTTACAGATACAAAAGTCAAGCATTGATGCATATCTCAGTAAATTGGAGTAACCTATGCGTTTCCATAAAACTAGTTTAAAAGTGTATTTAAAAATTACAACCTTAAAGCAGGTATTAAACATTATTTTCAGTAACCTACATTATTATTATTATTAATATTATTATTATTATTATATGTGTTATTTTTATTAGTCAGAAGTAATTTAATCTTCCAGGAAGTAAATAATTATGTTTTCCCAAGCTATAAGCAGAAAGTCATCATAATTAACAGAAATAGAGGCTTGAAAACATCCATCTGTTTGAAATTAATTAATGTAATAAACACTTATGGAATTTAGTTAAATAAACTTGTCAATAACATACAGAATTTAATTAAATGTCATTGTATCTCTATTCCTCATAATGTTTCACATTATAAAAATCTGTCTAATTTACCGTAGCAACAAGGCAGAATGTTTTGCTGCATCTGCTTCAATCTTTGGCCACATATCTAAAAGGATTTTGGAAGCACGGACGTTTTCTTTTCTTCCTGAATGACATAAGAGCACACACACACAAAAACAAGTAAGAAAAGCAGCTGCTATTAAGGCTGAAATACAATAGATGTTTATGCAAAACACAAACCATTGTTATTGATGAGCTAGTTCAATCAGGGCCACAGAAATTGGAAATCAGACTCATTTTGCCAGTCTGTGGGTTTTTTCATTTTTTTATTCATTTTTAGTCCCTTTAGAAATATTCTTATTCTTATAAAAATTAGATATTTAATTTCAGCAATAAACTTGGCCAGAGTCTCAAAATCATATGACATGACACAGTCCAGCATTTATTGGAACTGGTAATTGGGATGGATGGGGGTCAAGAAAATGGCAAACAAATCTTCAAAGACCACTTTTGGCAACTACATAACCACTAGATTAAATTGAAATTTTGTTTGTTGTTCTGGTAACTGAATGTCTACTGTCAGGTGAAGTGGAGGATTTATGACAGATTCTTACACTTCTGTAACGATCTGGTTAAGTTTTTGCCAGTACCATGCCTCATACTGTTTTATCCAAGACTCCAATGTTATTTCCATGGCCCCTTATGTGGTCACCTTTTCAAATTAAATGTCGTAAAGCCCAGTTCACACTACATGATTTTTTGCCCCGATTTTGCCTTTATGACAATCTTAGAACGTTCCGAGTTCTAAGATTGTCACTTCCGACAATTGTAACCAATCATCCTGTAGTGTGTGGTGTGTTACGACTGATCGGGTCCAGTCGGTGGAACGTCAGGACCATTTACCATGCTACAGTGAATGAAATGTGCTTAATTAGATCTCATAAAACCATAAGTAAAACTTTATCCTTATTCGGAGCAGCATGCTATTGGATTGTCTTTTTTTTTTTTAAATGAAAGATAATTATAAAATTATTGCACAGAGTAGGCTACATCTGGTTGAGAAGCGTATTCCAATCTTTGGTTGAAATGGCGCATTTGATTTTATTCTGCAGTTATAATACAATTTTAAACAATACAATAAGTTTCAATTAAAGGAGTTGGAATACGTTACAGCAGTCCAGACACTCAGGACCTGTGACAATGACATTTAACCTTAGCGTGGCTATTGATCTGTGTATTAATGTATGATCATGTGAGAGCAGCTATCTAAATGTCTTTCTGTATTTCCTCATTTACAGAGCTCTTTATCTTGGTGTCTTGGTAAAAATGGAGGTCCTGCACTATTGGCTCTTCTGCTTCACAGCTCAGTTTAATAAATCAGGAAAAATTTAACAAAGGGTGAAAATGTAAGCTACTCTCCATTAAAGGCATGTTTCTCATATATTTATACATACCTTTACCAGGTTTTGAGGCTTTAAGTGCCCGTCGCACCAAATACCCTTTTAATCGAGCTTGCAGAGTTGTGACTGCCTGGATTTCTTTCTCTGTTGGCTCCCTGTCTTCCCATACTTCACAGATCTTTGGAATTGCTAGAAACAGGACGATGAGAGAAACAAACCAAGATGTTAAAATTATAGAAAAAGAAAAAAAAAGTTGAAATGCTACATTCTGAAATGGTTTCCCTCAAGCAGATCTGGATTTAGGAGTAAATCCACAGATTATAGCAAATATAACAACTGCTACAAATATAAGCTGCAAGACAGCATGCCATAATTGTGAATTACAAATATATGCAAATGTATACATTTTATTTGTCAACATAAATATGAGACCTACGGGTAGAAGGTGATACTTCTATGTCGGGGGCCCAAATTGAGGGGTCGGCAGTGAGGGCTTGAAGTGCAAAGTACTCCTGTGCTGTCAGCTTTCTGCCCAGGGCCTCACGAAACATGTGGCATACTGCCAAGTTAAACAGCTATGTTTCCAGCAAACAAACGCAAAGAAAGAAATACATACATGAATGAGTGAAAAAAACAGACTTTGCACAATTACAGTTACGAGAATGTTGAGAAAGTTCATAGACCAAAAAGACACGTTTATATTAGCTGTGACAGTCAAAGTCCCATCACCAAATCTGTTTTTACAGCATAGCACTTTTAGCTAGTTTCTCTGCATCATCCATAATTATTTGCTGCACAAGAAGATAATTGCTGCATGGCATTATGTTCATGTCGCATGATGATCACAAGTTACCTTTTGGTGTTTTCTTGTCCCAGTTTTGGAAATGATACTTCGGGGGAAATAAATCTTTTCCAGAGTTTTTCTGAGTGACGGGAGCTTATGATCATCAGCAAAGGAAGCAACCACACGGGATAAAGCTCTGAATATGGTCAAAGCCTGCTCATTGAAGCGAACACTTTCCTGTTAAGACAAGACGATAGTATATGTTTTTATTTACTGCTGCCAGTTCAACAAAACTAAAATTGATGCAATTGATACAGAAATGTAGCAGAAAAAAAGAAGTTTAAACTGTAAACTGTGCTGGCAAACAAAAAAAAATAAATAAATCAGCAATAGAGAGACTAATATGAAATGTGAAGAAAAGTATATAGACAGATGTACACCTTTAAAAGCTGGAGGGGTAAAAAGAAAAGTAATTCCAATAGAGAAAATATTTCAAAAGAAAGCGTTTATATTAGTAAATGTTTAAAGAAAAAAAGTGGAAATAATGTTTCAAATTCCACTGATTATATCTCTGTTTCATAATTAGTTTTCTGACAAAAAATACAAAATATTGTTCGAAAACGTGTTCTTTAGTTCAGCAACAAAATACTGTTTTACGCTTGGACAACTAGACAAACACAAGATTTGTTCATTTATTTTCATCAACTCCCCCACTACTGAACTCCTTCAGCTAGGTACATAAAAGGATATTTCTATTCTTCTGAATTTTTTGGTTACACAGTTTTCTTATCCAACAGGTCAAATGTACACACATCAGAAATAAACTGATACAGTCAGTGGATTTGTCCAGCAAAAGGGAAATAAAAATACTCTGTGTAGAGTCAAAGATACTATATTGTCCACCAGAACCACCAACATGATCAGCTGTTAACAGTTTTGAGTCACCTTTACTAGGGCGGGCATAATGGTTTCTTCATCTCCTAACATGAATTGAGTCTCACTGCTCAGGTGGATGTGGTAGCCGAGAGTCGCACGGACATGGAGGCAAAACACATTGCGCCTGAGAAATGACAGTGACACAATACATTTTTAAAATACATTTTTGCAGCTCACACTGTTGACTAAACAGACTATAAGGACGTTTGCTACCATTTATTCAATACATTTTACAATATTTCAAACAAGTAAAAATGTACGTAGGTAGTTTTATTATCTGAATGTTCCACATGAGACAATATGCAATTTGGCTTCTTATTGGGCAAAGTGACAAATGTATTTGTTTTCCCCTATTCTCTTTTTCTCACATCATTTCTATTTTACCGAAAGGTGTGAAAATGTAAAATGTTCATTATTATAAATATGGACTGGATTATTCAGTATTACATACAACCCAAAATCAATTTAGTATTGAGTTTACCATTGTTGTTTTACTTTACACCTTTCTACTTTATTTTTTTTATTAAACATTTCTTTATGCTCCAGAGAAAAACATCTGATAATCCGAGCATCTTCTATACAATTTTTTTTCCAATCATCATATATTATCATACATAACCAATGATTGAAAATGATCAGAAGCTAATTTAATACTTTTGAACACTGGGTAGGAAGCCTATATTTAAATTTCCCTGAGTATTTTAGACAGATTCACAGCATTCTTGGAAACGGTACTGCATGTTTCCATTTTTCTCTGTGGTGATCAGTGGGTCGACTGGTCAAGAGTGCTCTACTAACAAAGTCTGTCTGCCAAATGCCCAGCTGAGTTCACAGGGTCTGAAGTGTGGAATTCTGCTACCCATGACCCATTAGCTTTATACAATTCAGCAATCACAGAATTTAGTAAATGGGTGAGCAGTGAATCAAAGCTTGGCTAGGGCTACAGAAACTAAAAAGAAGAAAACAAAAAACAGTGGAAAAGAATAAAGAGTAGAACAAAGATGTGTTAGGGGAGTACATTTCATAACAAAAAAGGAGTGGAAGTATTATGGGGCATTGTCAATTGAGTGTTGTGCATGATTATGGCTCAGCAGTAATTGCACTGCTGCACACTTGCACCTGACCCCAGAAACTAGGCTTTCTCCTTCTAGGCCAAACTATTGCCATTAATAGAGACAGGGACAGATAATTTTTTGCTGCCTTTCAGGACTACTGTATTGTGAAAATATGTGTTCACATTATAAGAGCCACTTGTAAGTTTTTCAATGGCTGTAAACACACACACAAAAGGGAAATAATGAACCACTTATTTACCGCTGTAGGAAATAAGAAATATTCATTTGAAATATGGCTATCATACTATTATTTATTTTGTTTAGATGAACAATTGTATGTGGAATCTTTAAACATAATCTTCCAATAAATTAAGTTCTTAACTGATGCAAATGAGAGCAAATGCTTTCATGTTTTTTAGTGGAAATATATATATTTTTTTTTTGCAGTTTTAACAAATGAGTCCTACCCTGCTGGCAAGTTAAGAATAGCTGCCTTTGAGAAGGTGGTCTTGATAGTGAGAACTGGAAGCTGAGCCTGCAGGGATGTCCAGGACTGAGGTTGAATAAGAAGCGCTGCACACCTGTGTATTCCAAATGTCGCTTTCTCAACAGGACATGCTGAAATGGAAAGCATTTCCAATATAATGGTTGTACAGTTACATTTACATTTTGTAAATCTAAGTTACAAAATGTTAATGCAACACAAACTATGATTTTTCTTTTAGCAACAACTTGATATACACAGCACACAAGTAAGTTAAGCTTCTTACAGAAACTACACAGAAAATTATTTTCAGTGTGTTCATGTGCAGATAACCCCTTACTCTTTTCACCAATGTCTCCCCACTGAAGAAAGGCAGACAAACTGATGAGTATCTCTGAAGGTTCCAGGGAGTCGACAAAAAGATAGTAAGTTCCTCTTACTTCTGAACACTGTGCCAAGAAACACACAAGACCGACATGTTCTTAAATAAAAACCAGAAGAGGAATGAAACAAGAACACAGGAAAGCTTTATGGGAAAAAAAACTAATGCTGAAGGTAAACTCTTAGCAGGAGAAACTGAAGGAGAGAAGGTGAAATGCATATTAAATATTTTCTCAGTGTGATTTTACGTGTACAGTGATAACTGCTTGTGTTGTTCTATTTTTTAATTCTACAGGCAGTTTTCTAATGATTTTTTCACTGATTAATGAAAATGAGGTGCCTTCCAGAAAATTCCTACATTTGTTTTGGGAATAAATGCATTTTTTGAGAAATGTGAAATGGACCTTTGTCCAGTCTCATTCTTATTATCGACTCATGACCAAGGATCTTAACGGAGGCATGTGAAGCCCGCAGGGCTAAATGTTTTAGGTTCTTTCCTGACCATCCTGGATGAGTTGTTGACACATGGAAGTAATGGTCACTGCTGAGAAGGTTCACCACTGCTCCATGTTTTCAAAATGTATGGACAAAAGTTATCAATGTGGTTTTCTTGAGTCCCAAAGTAAGCAAGTTAGTTTATTTTCTATTCTTGAGTGTCTTAAAATTCAGCTACAATGTGTTGCTTTTTAGATCTTTTTGTCTACCTTTTGTTATCAGACAGCTTCTATTTCAGTAATATTTTGACCCTACATGTCAAGACAGTAGCTGACCATTTACTTTTTTCACATATGGTCAGGTTTAGTTTGGAGAGCTTTTTTGTGTGATATCTTTGTCTTTAGTTAAAATGCCTTAAGTGATTGGAAACTTTGGCATGTCATAAAAAAGAAAGAAATAGACCAAATCTATAAAGAAGAAAATAATTTTTCAAAATGTGTATGTTTGCATATGTACCTCAGCACTTGCTATTTCCACAGACCTATTGGTAGGATATTGACAAGACGTTCCAGAGCCGCTGATACAACCCATATCTTTTGACAGGAAAATGCTCTGATGATAAAGGAACAGTCAGGTATCACAATAATCAGTATTAAGATAATATCCAAAGCACAAACCAATGAAATGTCAGGAAACAGCATGGTAAAAATGCAGATACCAGTCATTTATTCTCTTTTTTTTTTTTTTTACCTTGAATTGTGATTTCTGGATATGATGAGAGTACATCTGGGGTTTGTGAAAGACCAACAATGACCTGAAGAAAAACAACAAAGGAAGATTTTTTTTATTGTTTCACCCAACCATTACTTCGTGCACTGTGATGTTTCTTGCTTTCATTTGCATTTGTCTCACTGAAAACATTTTGCAAAGTCCTCCATGTCCACCCATGTGGTCTGTAGGGGTTTGGTGTTCGTGACTGTAGGATCTTTGAGTGAAATTGATAGTCGATCTGGAAGGAAGTGGATTGAACTTAGGTCAATAATTCATCATGACTACAGGAATGTTTGTCATAGGATGAAGCACACACACACAAAATCATATAATGAACAAAATAATGACCTTTTTGATATGACTAATAACTGAAATGAGTGGCACTTTTCATGTCACAGTGATAGTTCTAGTCTCAAAACGCTGCAAGTAAATGTGTGTGAGTCATAGCAAGTTATCCTAGACTCAAATCATTACAGCAAGTTGAACTGGCCAAACTCCCACATAATGGCACAGTGTAAGCACACATGCACGTCCATACTCCCACTCAAACTCCCACTATCTCTGTGCATCCTGTCCAAAGTCACAGACATATATATGCACACATACAGGCTCCATCTAAAAAAACAAATAAAAAAAAAAAACTGAAAAAAAAAAAAAACACGCACATGCAAATTGTCTACCCCCGGGTTCTACTTGAAGTGAGATTCTGATCAGTAAGCTGAGCCTGCGAGGGCAAGCGTCTCTGCCGCTGAGCAATGGTGGTCTGCTAACTCAAACTGCAGGTGTTACTAAGCAACTAAAAAGGGGCAGAGAGGAGGCAGAGAATCGGTTTGCTGTCACAAACTGAAATTTCAATCCTGTCTTCTTCAAATGTTCACTTCGCCTACAGAGACAGAAAGATGGGTGCAAATATTTCCCATCATAGTCACTAGGCTGAACTCCATGGATGCTTTCAACTAGACCAAATATAATAACGTTTCGTGATGTATAATAAAAGACCTTGTATAATTTGTCTTATAATCAAATATTTGATTTCTTACAAGGCAGTTTTCCACACAGATATTAAGTAGTAAAAATATTTCATGGAAATAGCGTTTACCACAGAAGATCGGATCAATGTCCTTTATCTTGTCCTCTGCTGTAACCTAGAGGGACAATGAGAGACAGAAAAAAAGGGAGAGAGGCATGAACTGTGGGACGCTGACAGAGTACCACTGCAAGAGATATGCTTCTACCCTCTAGTTAATTCCACGCCAGCTGTGGTGTTGTGCCATTCTCACCCGACACAGAGACACAGTTTAATGTGACAGGGCCTGCTCCGCCCCAACTAAAATCACCACCAGGGAATACCAGCTCTAATTTACTTTGAATGCAAGTGACAGAGGAGGAGTTGTTGTGCAGTGTAGTTTGTTATTTCTTTTAGTGGTGGTTCACACAGTGACTCTGATTTCCCTGTAATTCTGCCCAATCCTTTAAAGTTATAGCACTAATGGTTCATAATTATAGTCTTGAAATGTTTTCTTAAGCTACTTTTTCTCTCATTTCCCCTTTTTGTCCTCTCAGTCTGCCACTAAATACTCCTGGCTGCTTTTACTTGAAGTGTTTTACTATTAAGAAATAAATTTAGGGAAATGAATGAAGAATAAAAGGACTCAATCTGAATAAAGATTTAGTCAAATACATTAAGAACATCTAAATACAGTTTTTCCACACAATACACCTTCACCTTGCAACCACAAACTACAAGGTATTTTCATTGGGATTTTAGGTGACAGGCCAACACATGGTCTCTTTCTTTAAAGAAACACTTCTAAGAGAGATTTTGCATTTGCCAGTTTCCCATAAAAACCAGACTTGTGGTGCACACAAGTATAGGTGCCCCGTTAAAATCTCCTACTCAAGCTGTGTTTCTCTGCAGGTCCCCCAGAGTCTTTGTGAGCCTTTGCTGTCTTCTCTACTTAATGCTGTTTGCCAGAGAGAAGATTTGACTTGTGAATGCAACTAATTGTATTTTATTTCATTTAGATTACCTGAGGAAAGGGAGCCAAACACAAAAGCTGGAATACTTCCATTTCTTGTAAAAAATAAAAAAAAAATTAAAACAGTACGGTACTTTAAGTACTATAACATTAAATGAAAAAATATATTGGACTTTCAGGTTTTAAGTGATAAAATGGAACACATTGGAGTATTTAGATTTCAATCTTACCAATTTACTCTTAATTTACAGTGCTGTAAAATGAGCTTTGCTGTGAGCTTAATTTCAGCGAATTTAAACAAAAAACAAGGTATGTATGTCTTGATATCAACAACATACAGAAAATATGTTTTTGATGTCAGAGCCATATAGAAAATATGTCTGATATCAAAACCATACAAAAAGTATGTCCTTCATATCAAAGCCAAGTACAAGAAGATGTGCCCAGGTCTCACTGATCTAAACCTTCCTCCCTTCATTTTAAGTCTTTGTCAAAAAACATTCCCTTGAGGAACCAATCTGGTCAATGTCCAAGGGTTTACTCATTTCTGATCCAGAATTATAATTTTGCATTGTGTAGCTTCAAAGTATCCCCCACCAAGACTCTCTGACTCAGAGAGAGACAGAGAGTGTGTCTGCTGCTGCATGTGAGTCACCACTTATTCAAATAAGTACCCAGAGATTCAGACAGACAGAAAGAGGCATTGTGATCAGGAGGCACACTTAACCTCCTCTCTACTACTGTAAAAGAGCTCTGCTGCAACAGATATGCCAATATGCAGGTGTCTATGTATGTTGGCAAAAGTTCATAAAACTTTAAGTCACGCTCCAAGTCATGCAATGTTTTTTATACTCGTCCATGAGACGACTCATCTGTGTGGTGAGATCGGATTTTGAGACTATATTTGCGTCAGATATTACAACAAAAAAGCAAACTGATAAATGACAAAGCTGTAAGTTTGGATGACCAGCCGACCATTTGATAAGTAAAAGCAGGGAGCTTTATGAATTAACAGTATAAACCCCACTCCAAGAGGGCACTAATGATGTCATGATAGCACCTCCCTTTTGTCTTGGAGTCAGCAGCAGAGCTCAATGCTATTGGTCAGGGTTAACAAAAATGGTGGGAGGGGAAAACACAGCAAAAAACCCTTTTTGCTTGATTCACAGTCTCAGCATGTGATCCACCATGTGCTCGCCAGGAAAAGCGTCACACACATGACACATGCAAACTGATCTGAGAAGTCTGCGCACACAAATCTAATTAGCATGCCAACACTGTCCTAACCTATCCGCCCTATAACTGCTCAGTGTTACACAAGAGGGCGATTAATATGAATGCTATTTTTTCCTGCATATGCTGGGGGAGGAGTGTAATAATGACGCCCCCGAGAGACGTAGACACTCATGGCTCACCATCTAATTGCAGTTCTTTTTTCATCAGCATAGTAGATGACACTTTCCTGTACAACACCTATGCACCACCACACTGCAAAGATTTCTTGCTTTGTAACTATGGACTTATCACTTTCTATCCATTTTAAGTCCCTTTTCATATCCTGTTCTATTGCACATTAGTTGCCTCTCTGTGCTCCTTGCCATCCTTGCTTCTGTCTTTGTCTCAGACAGAAGCAAGGATATGTCTCCTGCTTTGAATGCTAGCCTCTGGTATTTTCCTTTCTGAGCTGGTTCTTTCTTTAGTCCAAATGTGCCTCTGGTCAGTGGTGGTTTGACCAGGAGATAACAGAAGTGACTTTGAGATTGGTGGATGGCAGCCGTGCTGTCACAAACACACAGGACTCTACTGATCAGCCTTCAGCTTCAATGTTTTATGACTCTAAAGAGGTGTGAGGGCACAAGAACAAAACAATGAAAGGTAGTAACAAAAAGCTACAAAATTGTTCTTCCTTTTTACAGCACTGAAATACAATTTCTCAAAAATCCTAAAATCTGCAGAAGCCATCAGTCCATTTCCCCTAAATTGTTCAGTTTTATATGTTAAATCCATTTATTCTAAATGTATGTATTAAAAGCAGACCTGTGGCAACACTTTCAGTTCGCCAGTGTTGCTTGGCTCAGCTACTTCAGGTTCATGTTTTTCTGCCTCCTCTGACTCGGTAATCGCAAACATACCGAGTTTACGGGTACGCTTCCTTGGTGTGCTCACTTTGGTCTCTCTGCCACACAAAAACACATTGCCATTATAATAAATGGAACAAATTTTACCCAGAAAATAGTTCTGAATGCTAAGGACAAAATTTCTACCTTAAATTACTGGATAATAAAAAATGCATAATTTTTACATCTTGCAGTTCTGAGCAAGTACACTTGCAAAGCCATTTTGCATCAAAGAACAGAGAGAAACATAAGAACAACATATGGGGTCAGTTTTCTTGCTTTCTTACCTTAGTGATAAGAAAGTAAGAAATAATATAATATTAGCACAATTTAAAAGCTAATAAAGAAAATTGAATCTTGCAAAAATAATGTACAAAGAATAGTTCAACTTGATTTTATATTTTGATCATTTAAAAGAACATACGGTCCTGGGGTGCAGGAGTCACTGCTTATGCCACTGCGAAAAACAAAAGCCAATATTAAAAGACAATAGTATCTTGCAAAACCAAAACAGAAAGAACAATTCAACTCAATTTTATATTTTGGTCATTTAAAAGAACGTACAGTTCTGGGACAATGCCGCCAGTGGTTGCGGCACTGCGAAAAACAAAAGTGCTGGTAACCTCAATGAATTTCTCATGTGATGGCTCAGGTTCCTCTGCAAATGGAGAAAAATTAAAAACTTGAACATATTATGCCAACATTACTTGATCAGTCAGAGATCAGCAGGTGTCGGGTACAAAGAGCTATTTAGTACCAGAAGTTATGTACCAGCACAGCTCATATTTTCATGTTGGCATGTAATACTGGTTGACCTTTTTTTAAACAGGTAGAGTCCAGCAGGTCAGACTGACAAAGCTACCAGCTCTGACTCTCCTCAGGGATGTTTTATCTTCACTGTTATTCATTCTATACACCAACACAAATTGCATAAGTACTATTCCAAATAAACAATTAAGTAAATATACTGATGATACAACCCTGGTAAGCCTTTTAGATAACAAGAGGAACAGTCCTGAACTTCTTCATTAAGTAGTTCAAAACATCTAAACTAATTCTTAACACAACTAAAACAAAAGAAATGACCATAGACTTCAGGAAGCTTCAGTCACCATCTCCAACCTTCATCAATGGAGAGCAGATTAAGACAGGTTCATCTAAAAGGTTAGATGAACCTGGGCACGGTGCTAGACTGAAATTTAAAGTGGGACTCATGGAGTGATTTTATCAGCAATAAAGCTCAGTGGAGACTATGGTTTTGAAAGACAGACAGCATGGCAATGCTACAGACGTTCAGAAGAAATCCTTAACAAGTCCAGTGGCCACAGCCACAAAGAGAACACTTTGCAGAGCACAGCAAAAATATGCATGGACAAAGTCATAAGGAAGGCAAACAACATCATAGCAGATAATACACACCTGGTACGATCTTTATTTGAGGTGTTTTCTTCAGGGCGAAGGTACTGCATTCCTCTATTCTCAAGAAACAGGACAATAATTTCTTTCATGCCACTTTTCCAATCATGGACAAAATTTACATGGACAGAGTTATGAGGAAGGAAAACAAGATTACAGCAGACAATATATACCCCTTAAGATCTTCATGTGAGATGATTCCCTCAGGGATGAGGAACTGCCTTCCTCTATGGTCAAGAAACAGGACAAAATGTTATTTTCATACCACAAGAAATTAAATCATTAAACAGCAAAAAGGCACCATAAATTGCTGAGGCATTCAAATCACTTTGCTATTAATGTCATAGTATACTGTGTGCATGTATGTCTTTTCATGTAAATTCTTCCTGACAATGCTGCAAACCAATCACACAATTCATCAATTAATCTATCGAATCTATCACGTTGGCCAACACACTGTGGAAATGCCTGCACCTTGTTTGTTTGATATACTCCCATGCATTTTCTTCCAATTTTCCTTTCACCATGCTTTTATTTCCAAACATACTTCAATGTCTCTTTTTCTTACTTTGAGGCTCAGATGTGACTACTATCTTCTTTCGCAGACGGATGAGTTTCCATCGGGACACCATCTTAGCTTTGGGAGGAGGCGTCAGCGAACATGAACGGGTTTTGGACAACAGGACAACATGGCTGTGCAGCATCGACAGACCATAAAACCGTAAAAGCTCTGAGGAAGTTGCCTGTATGACCACAAATGTCAGGTGCACAGAAATAAAAACATCTTCAGAAAAAGTTAAAAATACTTCTTTAAAACAGTAAAGTTAAAAGTATTTGCCCCTTACAGATTTCTGCTTATTTTTGTTTTTTCCACACAGATCATTAAATAAATATCAATCTGAGATAAATATAACTTCAGAAAACAAAATCCAGTACACAAATAATCATTTTGTTAACCTTGCAAAACACATTTAGCCCTATGTGAAACGGTGTCTGCCCAATTAGACCTAATAAATGGCTGTGACAGCATTGAAACCTGAACTAGCCAACAAGAGCAGAACACTATAAACATAAATACCGTTTTAACAAGTCCAAAAGAATCTTGTAAAGAAGGGTAGAAGCTGGCACATACTGCAACTTTTAGAGGACCTGAAAAATACCAATGAAAATGGTTTAAAGATCTGTAACCAACACAAAAGTGAGATGAAATTGAGGTGTGCATTTTCAACTTGCCTTTTTTACAATGTTAACATTAACATATAGTGCAACCAACCATCTTCTGAAATTAGCTTATTAGTAAATTGAGGTTATCAGTTTGCATATTATCTCATGAAAATATCTGTAAAGAAAGCTTTACAGTGAATGCCTTAGAGGTTCGTTAGACAACATTAGAGGGCAAAAATTATTTACTGTGTTCACTAAGGAACATTGCAGACTTCTCAGGGAGTAACCTGTGGAGTCGTTTTAAGCAGGGCCATACAATGAAATATCCAAAGCTTGAGAGACATAATGTCCACAAATGGAAAGAGTGTCACAATAGCGGTCCATCCCAAAAATAGCCATTATCTAATCCGACAGGCTGAGTAAAGAGAGAGAAGCAGGAGTTGAAATTGGCTAATGGCCAAATCTCAGCTGAATTCATAAAGTAGCAGGTATTGGATAACTTTGATCAACCTACAAAAAGGGTAAGTTTGCAGTCTAAACTGAAAACATTCATTACATTTTTTCTTAAAAAAAAAAACAAGTGCATTGCAGTGCACTTGGTTGCAGCAAGGTGGCCTGAGGTTTTTATGCATGAAGTTTGCATGTTTTTCATCAGTCTGCGGGGGTTCTCTCCAAGTAGTTTGATTTCCTCCAAAATCTCCAAAACAGGGCCGTTAGGTTAATTGGTCTCTCTAAAAGTGTCCAGGAGTGAGTGTGCTCATGGATGGTCGGTTGTCTTAAAATGTTCTGTGACGAACAAACATACTGTCCAGGGTGTATGAGGTCTATTGGCTAGTGAGTACTGGACACAAACAGTACCAGCAACGGGCCTGAAAAGATAATGATTGAATGGATGGGTGGATGAACAGAAAAAATTAAGATGGAATATGGAGAAAATAAAAACATACACATTTAATAGGGCCCTAAAGAACTTAATTTTATATAATTTTGTGACCAGTACAAATACTACAAAGAGATAAGTTTGAAATTAAAAGTCAATTGTGAAATTTTAAATGGCTGGTAAAATGTTTCTTCTATTAGCCATAGTAGCTGGTGAAAGAAATGTATTTCTATTAGTGTGAAGAGATAGATAAGTGGCCAATGGCAGAGCTGTAGGACCAACAGAGATGCACCACTCTGGCAGATTCTGCTAACATGATAGCTCATATTTATGCACTCCCCAAGCCTGGCCTTTAGGGAAGAGTGACAAGAAGACATTCATTGCTTAAAGAGAACCTTCAGAAACACTGTTTGAAATGTGCCACAAGCCATGTATCTGACAAAGAAAAAATATGGAAGGAGGTCAAATTTTAGGTGTACATAGCTTTACTTTGCTAAGGCTATTTACATTTAAGAGGGCTTGGGAAAGGAAGAAAAGAGTTTTTTGTAAAAACAAAAAAGAGCCAGTAGGTAAAAAAGAGACAAGTTTAAAATATTTGGAAGCTGAAAATGACTTGGTGTCATACAACCGACAACAACAAATAAAAAAAAGCTATTGTCTGTCTTCATCCAAACTTTGAACATAGTGTTGATACCATTTTACAATCTGCTATATGCATTGAACAATTCCACTGTATCACAAAATGGTCTTTTCAAATTATCTTCAGATAAAATTTATCTCTGAGGATGTTTCATTCCTACCTGGATCAGCCAAGTAACTATAGACGGAAGCTCTCCTGGTTTTATCTACATAGATGCAAAAGAAGATAACACCAAGAAATGAGACATAAATTAACATATATATTGTATATGGCCAGATGGTAGATGATTGGTTGACTAATTTAAAACAAGATGCAATTTAGAAATATGATGTAAGCATTAATCTGTTCATAAATGTGTATTTCAGTGAAAATTTGTTTAACTGTGCAACAATCTGGACCTGTGCTTTTTTCTGTCTCATGGACCACACTCTTATTGTCGTGATGAAGGATATCTGTCCCTCCAACAACTGCATCTTCACTGTCAGAGAACGACGTTCCCATACCCGCATCATCGTGTGTAAATTTAGGAATGGTGTCTAGAAGGAAATCCCATATTTTTTCTGAGTGCTTTGGCCTAAGAGGATGTAAAGAAGAACAGAATTAGTTTAAGACAATATGACTCTGTAAAAAAAAAAAAAGAAAAAAAAGGCATTAATAGTGAAATTGCAAATGTTTTATGTGGTTTTTATCTACAATTTTTATCTACAATGTATTTAGTGTTTTGGGTGTGACATCCTGAGCTGCAGAGAACTGTGTATAGCAAACATCCAGCAGATCGGTAAAAATCTTACACTATAGGAGTGATTACTGGCATCCAGCCAGTGAGGGAGTGGATGAAGGTGAAATCACCCATCTCGCCACCAACCCTAAAAACCGGACTGAGAAAAAAAAATGAAACATAAAAACTGGTTAGAAATATGCTAACTGTAGTATGTAAAGTGCTTAATTATGTTGTGAAACACTATAACTTACATTGTGGAGGCTATTTTAATTAGAGCTTTAGCCAACAGCATTGGCCAAATTTCTGATTGACAAGTCGAGGCAGGGAGAAGCAGATTATTATCTTCATCAAATGGCATGTTATCATCCACAGTCAACTTTCTCCAGGAACCCTGAGGGTAAAGAGGGAGGACAGAAAAAACTGAATGAGCTGCACATCTTTCAGATAGAGTGGAAAAAATATACTGTATTACTCATCCAGGCTTTTTTATGTAAACATTAAGAGTAATATATCAGGCTTATGTGAGTGAATTTCTGATTTTCTTTGCGATCTAACTGATTTTTTATTTTTTTTTATTTTTAGTAAATGTAGATTTTTTGTAAAATTTACATTTACAAAAAAATTTAGATTTTGTAAACTGATGGGTTTTACATATCAAAAATAAATAAGCTATTCAGAACATAAGCCATTCTAGAAAATAATTTCTATGAATCTGGATGATTATTAATAATAATGAAGTTCTGTGGTTCCAGGGCAGCATGTGGCTTAGCACCTTTGACTAAAAAATATTTTTTGGATACAAGCTATGCTTATAGACACAAAGATGCTTGTTTTAGCCGTCTTCCCTCTTTTCTGGCGTATATAATAATATGGCACCAACAGTACATAGAATATTTTTGCTTAGTCTTTTTATATCATAAAAAAATTTGTTTTATGTATTTGCATTTTTATATTTATTTTAAAAGACACTGAACATGTTAAGTTGAAAATATTTTGCAAAAATATATCTTACAGTAGAAATTCAGTGTTTCATCATTGTAAAACCCCAAAGTAATAAAGCTGTAATTACCACAAAACATTGTAAATAATATGCTGAGCATTTATAAAAACTAAACTGGCACTTTAAAATAATGTTGGGTTATTAGTTAACATTAAAAATCTACAACACTGTTCTTTGTTTGAATAAAGGCATATAGTAACACTTGCTGTAGGAGAATGAATGTTGTTTCATAGATATTGTAAAAAACAGTGTCAGCAATGATTGCAGTGAGTAGGTAATATGGGTAACTCTAGTAATAATGTCGAGTTACATTTATTGCATGCCAACTTCAGGCTTCGTGCTTTTCTCCATTCTACCTTCTAGCAATTACTGCCATTAGATTTAGAGCAACACATTGAGTAGATACTATAAGTCTGTTTGCTAACTATAAAGAAAATAAGCAATCAGGTGACATGTCTGATTGCTCACAATCATATCTTTTACTTATCAGAACAGTGTGAACAAGCACTGAAAACCTCTACAGAACAGAGAAAGGGTGGAACACTTAATTTCTTATTTGGTCTTTATAGCTCCAGGAATGTATTTTCCCCACAGAGGAGGCTCTTGATGTGGTCATTGGATGTGGTGAAGTATAGTGCAAGAAGGGAGAGACTTTAAAAACACAAGATAATTGTGTGCAAGACATAATGAGGACAAAAATGTATGTAAGTTATTTGCATATTGCAGAAACCTGAACAAATAAAGAAGCTAAGCAGTCCTCCAAAAATGTGACAAGGAAACAGGAAATGGGGATAGTGGGGGTTGGGTGCCTAATGCCATCTCAACAACCATCTGTTGGGATGCTATGGCTGGCATGGAAAGTGATGCCTACAACTGTTATGCTTGTTTGTCAAAGCAAGAATCAACGATATAATAAAAATGTTTCCCAGTTGACCCAAACTGTTGTGAAGAACTGCAAAAAAATTATCACTTTAGAGGTCTGTAAGATGCACACAAGCTCACAAAATGGAGTTTTAAGCTATATCCAAGAGAAAGATTTTTAATTTTGACTGGCTTTACAGAAAAAAAAATCTCAAAACTTTTTTTTACAAAATAATATAACTGCAACCAAAGTTTAACTATCAAACTTGAGTCAATAGTTACACTATTGTTACAATAACTCGTGTTAATAAGCCTCATCTATTCAACATATTCATTTTGGTACAGCAGTGAGGCTGATTGATTTTACCTCAGAAAACAAGATTTTCTTATCCCTCCCTCCATTGTATCGGAGGGAGGGATAGTAAAAAGAGTTCATTCACATTTTCATTGGCTAAATCTGATATAATCTCCTGTGTAAATAAATGAAACACTGTGCCTTCATATAGGCATGATTACAAAACTACTGTGACTTCAGGAATATCTTTATGAATGTATATTTTTCTGACAGGCTTACCATCCAGTAAAGTCTGACCACATATTTCCCATAGTTGTTAAAAAGTGGCACATGACCTTTCACCACATCACACATTGAGTAGATGTGCTCCCAGGGTTTCCAGCTGTCTTGTTGGAAGGTTGAGTCTGTATAAAGCATCCAAACAATATGGATCTCACTGATGAGCCACCTCATCAGCTTCACAGAAGGGAGGACAGAAACAGAAGAGAAGACAGGCAAAAATTACTGTCAATGTAAGTGTTACATGTTCAATGCAGAAATAATATTTACACAAAGAACATGTTAAAAACTAACCTCACAACCAAACAAATGATTGTTAGGGGAGACCAGGTCAAAGTCTGTTTTGTTTTCAACCACAGTGACGTCCTAAAAACGACAGAGACACTGAATTGCCTATAAAATATTTTACTATTCAACACAACTATGATATAAATACATACAAATGAAAACATATTTCCATTCACAGTATAAAAAAAACATACACAACCTTAGATTTTTTGTAACAATATCACACACTAAACACTTTCTTTCTTCCTGACAGAAGATGTGTCAAGTTTGACAGACACTCCTTCAAAAAGCAGGTTAGGCTGCTAGCACAGCTTTTTAGGTCTGTCCACAATCTATCACAAATTTGCACTTGAGCTTTAGTTTCATAATGGGACTTGATAAAGTTAAGGTTTCTGTGCATTTGCCAACAGAATCTGCCTTTATAAATTGCTTTTAAAAATAAAAAAATAAAAAAATAAGCAACTCCTCTCTGACTGTATAAGATTTGTTTCACAGTGGAAAATGACATTCTTGTCAGCTTCAGACAGGATCTTCACAAGGATGTTGCTTCATGTCTGACGGATACACAAATCTTGCACCAGATGGCTGTATCCATAAATTATGGTGCAAAATTTTCCACCAAAATTTGTGGTGCACATACAGTTCCATCGATTTGAACCATATGACTGGACATTTCCAAGGTGTTAAAGAGAAAACATTAAGACTAAATGAATGTCAATGTGAAAATAAATGGTTGTGTGCATTTTATACAGCAGCATGTACAATTTTAACTCAATATAAACAAATACCCAATTTATGAAATAATCTACTGTCAAAGGCCAATAAAACATGCAATTCAAGATCCTTAAATTTAAATAAGGAATTTAAATTGAAATGCATTTAATTAAAATACTAGTACTGTTTTACTTATGCCTGTCCTGTATCAGATGTCAGAAACACAAGTTTACTGCAAAAGAAGGACGTTTTTGTTGTTCAAACTGAAGAAACTTTTTTCAAGGACATTAAATCATTTCTTTCATAATGTGTATCTTCGGCAAGACAGACAGCTTTTTCAGAAGAGTGTCTGCTTCCTTCTGTACGGCTGATTGCTTCCTTGATTAGCCTCTGCTCCTTTTGTATGAAACCACTGAAGTCGTTTTGACTTCTTGAGTGAAAAGGCAGAATGTGACTTGGCAAAGACTGATTCAAAATAACAGGAAGCTTCCAGTTAGTAAGTGGTCCATACACCAATGTGAAAAGTAAAGTGATGCAATTACACTTAATTGGAGAAGGTTATAGAAGATATCTGTATACTTTTCACATTGTGATGCAAGGAGAAATTTACTTTAGGGATTTATTGCTGAGAAAATTACCCTAGGTATTCAATTAGCATATAAATCTGGATAAATGGAAAAGGCAAAAGGAAATCAGTGCCTCGTAAATGAATTCATGTGTCTTGAACTTTTTCCACCTAATGTCATGTTTGAGTCACAGACTTGGAGAGGTCTATTAAGTAGACCAACAAAATCATGGACAACTGTGAAGTGGAAGGTAAATCTGGGTATTTTTTACACATTGTGATAAAAAAAAAGAAAAAATGTAGAAACTGTGGTATTCATCTGTTTTTTACACTTATTTGCTCTGTTAACCCTGAAGGGAAACAAGGCCAGTAGACTCTGGAGGATCTGGAGAGATATAATGCTCAGGTGTGTAAATCTGGGACACTTCGTTTTGAACTCCTTGATGGAAGTGTGACAAGAATAAACCTATAGATGGGGGAGCGGTATGGACAATCTGTTCTTAGCTTTAACAAGATATGTAGAGGATAAAATAAACGTGCAATAGAAGGTGATCTTGTTAGTCTCTCACCATGTCTAATAGCAACTAGGCACATCAATATGAACACATGAAGACCCACAAAAAAACATAGTGGTGATGGCATTATGTTGGCGAGGACTGTTTTCTTCAACAGAGATAGCCAGGGTGGTTAGTAAATGTAAAGCTATATGGAGCATAATGTCATTTAATCATAAATAATTTAATCATTTGATCACAACTGCTGCAGGCTGCGAAAAGACTAGCAGAGGTTTTGATTTCCAGTAGAACAACAATAATATAACCAAAATTACAAAAGAATTGTTTATTTCAAAGCATTAAAGGTCCAATCGAAATCCAGACCAAAATCTGATTGAGAACTTTGAAAGAACTTGGAGACACTTTCAATCTGATCTGTCTAACCTTGAGCCATTTTCCAATGAAAACAATATCTGCATTTCAATTTATAGACGTGCATAACTAACAACGAGACTGTAATTGCAGTTAGAGGTGACTCTCAAAAGCTTTGACACTACTTTATTTTTATCTATCATATGAAATCTTTTTAAATACATAAAATACATACATGTTTTATGTTAATATAACAAATTTTGTAAAGGTTCAATGGGATAAGAATACCGTTTTGAGGTGTATTATAAGAATTAATGTTAGTTGCAATCTGACACAAGATCCAAAATTAATTGTCTTATAAGTATAAAAGTGGTCAAAATTATTACTTACAATTTACTTATTTAACATAATTTTTTTTATGCTGAAACTTGGTGATCCATTTGGTGGGACAGACTGCACTGTTGGACGACATTTAAAGTCCAATAGGAGTCAACATATTTATTAAATGGCCAAAATTCATATAGCTTCATTACACAAGTATTAGACTATTGCGTTTGCAGCTATCCCCAACTAAACCGAACTGAAATTAAAGGTTTATATTTTGATAAAAAACAACATAATTCTGAAAGGGATGGTATAGTTACCTTATCAACAATAAACTCAGCTGGACGTTTCCATGTGTGAACCTTCAGGATTGAAGGTAAAAACACCTTTCCTTCTGGATCTTCGAAGATTGACTGAAAAGGCAACTTAATTTTCAAATATGTGTAGATGCATATTTGAATCATTTTGTTTGAATGTGGTGAAGAAGTTTAACTATCCCCCATATATGGATTAGATTAATCTTTCATGAAAATTTGCAGTGCTTTTCAGAATGAAGTACAAAGTTCATCTAAGGAATAAGATATTTAGAGGCTTTAAATAACAGGTCTGTAACAACACAGATTGTAAGGACAAAAGTAGCAAAGAAAAGACAAAACATAAAAGAAAGGAAGGAATCAAAGAAAGGATGAAGGGGAGAGAGGGAAGGCAGCTGAAAAGGAAACTTGAAAAGAAATGACTCTAAAGGAAGCAAGGAAGGATAACAACAAGGCGTTTTAGATGATGAGACGGAACAAAACCCAGATCTGGAAAATACTGAAATCAAGTTTCTCACAGTAGGAACCGTCTTTCACTCACTACCACCCCGGGCCCCATATTTACAGAATTACTCTTGGCCTTGGTTGACTTTCTGCCTTCTCCTTTAGTAGAAACGTCCCACTTCTCCTTGCTGACTTCGACGTCGCTCCACTCGGGCCAGATGTAAATTTTGGACTTTTCGAGGCTCTCGGAGGAGTTGGCTGTCCTAAAATACCGACACGTTCGCGTCACCTTTGCGCACTTTTCTGTGTTAGCAAACGGCAAGGCAGCAGCGCAGCTGTATTTAATGACTCACTCATACTGCCGGTCAGACGCAGACGTTTTGCTGGCGGCGTGATCCCTTTTCTTTACCTGTGCTGGTTTGGACATTGTGTTTATGTCGGGGGGGAGGGGTGGGGTTAAAAAAAAAGAAAAGGAAAAGTAACACGAAGCGCCTTAATTATATTCGTTTCATAAGCGTTTCTTTCTGCCTGTCGAAGTTTGACAGTTGCCTGGCAACCGAGCTTAAAGGAGCAGGGGCACTTCCTGTTCCTTCTTATTTTGGTAATGTGTGCTCAAACTTTTCTGCCAATCACGAATGAAACATTGAGAAGTGATATATCTGCCGATATAAAATCCATTCAGAGTGAATGATCCTATTTCCAAAACAAGTTGTTTGTCGTAAGAAAAGCAGCTCTGCTCTCCTCTCTTAAATTTAGCCTAACTGCATTGTATTTAGCTTAAATCATTAGTTTACTTTGTTAGGCATACTTCATGTAAAACCCAGGCACAACATCCGTTTCGTCTGAGGTCATAGACAAGAATGAGCTGTCACACATATTTTGTGTTAACATTCGACGTACAACTCAACAAAAGAAGCAATGTTCATCTTACTTCACCCATAAAGTACTTTGTTTATACCTTTTCCTGGAGACTTTCTGGAGCTGAGATGACATCGACCACCAGAGCACTGCAGCAGGCATTAAATCACAACTTGACAACAAGGATCTGATAAAATGTTTATTCTATTTTGGTTTTGCATATTTAAAGTATTTTCACCTGTAAACATGTTTGAAACAATATTTACATTTAATCAACACTTCAACAAATTGCCATGTACAAAAGCCTGGAGACCTCTGTCAGAGACTGGTTTTGCTGCACAGTCAGTTATGCAACATTCGACACAAAACATTTTAAAAGCACAGGAATTTACACAGCCGCACTAGCAGAAACATAGCTAAGCAAAGGTCTGCAATTGCTTCTGTAGTCATGCAAAACCATCAATATAGCTTTGTTCTTTTTTTTGTTTGCGTTTTAGTGAAATACTGCAGCGTAATTTTGATTGTACTATGTGAAGAATACAAATTGTTACCCATGCCGTTGTTAAAATAATAACAATGTTATGGCACAATACTTAATCAGAGATAAATGGACAAATGCAATACAGCTTGACAGCAATAAAAGCCAAATAGCAATTTTCAAATTTTACAGAACGACTCTAATAATGAAGAAAGCAGGTAAAATTCACTCTGTGTGCAATAAAATGCAATGTCCATCTACAGGCACTGAAGAAAAGCTTCAGCATCTTTATTTTTTTTTCTTTTTCTTTCACAGAAAATGTGAGGTGATAAAATAAGACATACATGGACTGATATTGATTAAGAACATACTAAAGTGACAATCACAGGGTCAAAAATTGTTTCTCCTCAACTCCTCAAATTGTGCTCCTCAACTTTCTGCAGTGAATGCACCACAAGCCCCACCCTGTTCCTTGTGTGGTATTAGTCCAAGACGTAAGAGGTTGTCAGGGCAACAGTTTGAAAATCAGCTGTACATACTGTAAGCATTTTTAAAAGAACAACAAAAAAAAGCAAAGTAAATGCAGTAGAAAACCTTTGAGGCAAGATCGAAAATAAAAGTGAGTTACGAGAATCTTGGATGCACAGGTCAAATGGGCATCAGTGTAAGAAGTTCCTGAAGCTTTGAAGAGACAAAAAAAAAATCACATTTGTCTCCAAGGTTGCATCAGGGAGCTGGAGCCACAGGCTGGGTGAACTCACTGGACCCCACCAGAGGGAGGCGGATGGCTAATGTGAGTGGATTGAGTGTTAGCAGCAGCCTGACTTGCTCTCAGCAGCTACAGTCTCCTGGTCCAGTTTGATCCGGTCTCCGTTGCTCTCCTCATTCGGCAAACCTTTATCATTTGCCAGGATGTTCTCTACCAAGAAACGAGCCGCCTCGTCTACGTTGATGTTGTCCTAATAACACAAGAGAATAAATAGTTCAGTAAGATGGGGATATGATAACATGATGTTAAAGAATATGTACAATAAAAAGAAATGACAAAAATGAAGTACAATAAGTTCAAAATATATTTACACAAGCCATGGAAACAACATTTGTTTGCAACTACATTTTCATTTTGGACAAAAGCTTTAATTGACAGACATTGACTGCCAATGCAAATTATACCAAAAGAAAAGTTTTGTTCTTTCCAACTGAAATCTTGGTTCTGTTTTGCCTTTAGACTGTGTATTGGAACAATTCACATTGTCCTCTGTTTTTTTTTTGTTTGTTTGTTTTGTTTTTTTTAGCCAACAGAAAATTTTCAAGTATTTTAATTGCTTGAAAAGTAGAAATACACCACGTTTTTAACTGTGGTAAGCTTCCCGATCATTTCTTCCATCCACCATTTTGTACTTTTACAGTTTGGGTTGGACACAGGCACTGAAGCACCAGATAAAAATTTACAACCAACTGTCTGTTGTGCCTTGAACTGGTTTGCTGTTGCTTTTTTGCAGGTGGAACCAATGGTAAGTGGTTTCTGTAGTGGCTGCTGAGAACAAAGACTATTGTAGGTGCTTTTTATAGGACGGCAATAAGTTCCCTGTGCATCAAATTGGCACTGATGCATAGGGAAGTTTGCTTTGGGGATCAAAATGGAACTAGATGGGAAAAAAATGTCAACTCTTAGGTCAAAAATGGGTGTTGAAGATGGAAAATGAGTGAACAACAACAACAAAAAATACAAAGTACAAAGCTTAAACTGGCAGTCAGAGGCCAGTTTAAGCTATCAGAATATTCTAACAAGCAGATGGCTGTTTTTAATTGTTTTGAGCCATCTAAAACTGCACACAATGTTTTTTCTTTTGCAGTTGTTTATGTTCACTTGGTGCCTGGCTTGTGCTGTAATTGAAAGGCAACATCTACGGTAAGTGGAAAAACAAAGATAGATCTATTACAAAAGGATTATTTTACATCTGTCCTCATGAAGAATTGCAAAACTGATAAAAGTATGCCAAAATAACTGTGCAGTGAGAGATAATTATTTTTCAAAAGTAATTGCTGAATACAATGAAATGTTATTTGCATGAAATTAATATTCAATGTTTTTTTATTCCTTTCAGATAAACAATAACATTATTCTAGTACTTTTTATGTTGATTAAATTTTATTATCTTCTAAAAAAAAAAAATTTAGTCCCCAGATTTTCTAGTAATGAGGCTATATATTTCAGACCCATATTTCAAAAATCCTCCAAAAACATTGATTTACTTCACTAAGACAATGTTATTGTATTGCTTATGGCCTTGAGAACACATTGTTCTGTGAACATTTGGCTCCCATTAAGAGAACTCCCATCCCAGGTTTTTGTGGGTGGGTCTTTACACAGACGTGACCAGCACATTACTGCACTAACAGAAAGGAAACAGCTTTGCAATCGTCACACACCCACACACTTGACATGACACAGCTCCAGCAGCAAACGTTTTTTCTTAATTAAATCAATAGAGTCAACTCATTCCAAACCCATCAACACATCTCTTAACAGGGAAAAGCAACAGTAGCTATTATTCAAATATAAGGGAGTGTTTCCAGTTTCCTGACTTCAGATGTTTTCCTAGAACGACAGATAATGCCAGTGAGTAAAGAATAACAGTAAGATGACAGGAAATATGGATGAAGTTTTTCTACTCTCTTTGTGAAATGCACAACTCTGTTGTTCAAAACACCTGTTAGTAGTGATAATATAAAATAATTTAAACAAACAATACCTTCCCGCAAAGAAATAACAAAAGTAATTTGTTAAAGTGCTGCCTCTTGAAGTACCTATAAGTTGAGTAAGTTGAGCACAAAGAGAATTTTTTGCCTATTTTCAAATATTTCAAGCTCTGAAAGACTGAATAGAGAACATCAGTGAAGTCTCGCCACAGATTTTGGATGCAGATCTGGACTTTGACTGAGCCCTTCAAAGATGACCATGTTTTGAATTAAACTGTTCCGTTGCACCTCACTGTATGTTGACTGCTTTTGTCCTGCTGCAAGGTCAATCCATCTCAGGCTCTTTGGGACCGTCTAACAAGTTTTCTTTCTTACCCCAGGTTTTACATTCATCTGCATTTACACTTTAAACATTTCCAAAACTTTATCTGAGATGTGTCTTGTTCGTTTCTTTGTTTATTATCATGTGATTCAGTTGCTAATGTTCATTTACAAACCTCTGAGAGTTTATACTGAGACTAAGGTTACTGCTAATCATTAGGGTATCCATAAAAGAGTTTATTTGAACATCAAGCTAATTTGTTCTGAATTGAATTCATAAAATATTAGAAAATATTTTTTTCACTCAATTGCACAATTATATATTTGTGTTGGTGTATTTCATCAGGTTTTTGAGGCTGTGTAGCTGATCACATGTGAATTAATTAATTTTTGTGGTGATTGATTTCTTCTTGAACTGTAAATCTCCCTTCATATTGAGGTTAAGGCTACTCTGCAGAAAGCCATTAACCAGAATAAGCCTTTATTACAATATAACCATGTTTCCCTCTATTTCTGCCTGACTTTCAGGTCTTGGAAAAAAAAAAAAGTCACTGAAAAAAATAAAAATCACTCGTGCTTGATTGTTAAGAGTGGAATAAGGTAAAGACTTGTTGATTCTCAGACATTGTTGGCCTGTGATTCGAGTTTCTGGCAAAGTACCAGCTGATAGTCATGTGCTTTTAGTCAGGATTTCTATCTGGTGACAATCAAAAATCTCTAAACGTTGAACAGCTCCATGCCCTGTGCAAGAAAACCCTCTGTTTTTGTTTTAAGTTATGCACAACTATGGAAACTATGGAAGCAAGAGCGTCAGTTTGCCAGATTCTACTTTACAAAGACCACAGTAAATTAAAAAAAACAGTAAATTATGACAGCAGGAGAGGAAAAAAAGTAGGACATTTCCTTCATTTGCCAATCTCAAACCAATCTGTCATATTAAATCTTTTTTATTGTGGTCTGTGCTTACTAGACCGGTTTAAACATTTTAACCAACATGGTTGCTTGTTTCAAACACTAGCCGTTGAAAAGTTCAGCGCCAAAAAGATTTCAACATTTTGTACTTTCACAATAACCACAGGAGCAGAAGAGGCCAGGCTTCCCCACAGGATAACTTTGGAGGATTTCCTGTCAGTCAGTGGCAGTAAGGAAATCATTCAGGAAAGGTGGCAACACGTCCGGTGACGACTTTTGTCTCTTGTTGTGTCATGTAAAAAGCTTACATGATGAAGCTATAATCTCTCTTCATCATGTCCTGATATTAAAACAACTCCAACACTGGGAATTTGATGCTGCTTCAGAATGTTTCACAGTGAAGAAACACAATGACACAACTAAAATAGAAATACTGAATATGATATGAAAAGAACACATAAAAGATTGAACATAAAGACACTATAGCGATTTGTATTACATACAGTATTACAAATTAAATTATTTTAGATCACAAGATCAGACTGCATTTATTACAAAAATGTTGGGTGAATGAAGCTCTAATGCACGGTCTCTGATTTGGTAGAATGACTAGAAAAGCATTATGTAAATTTATTTACTATTTTTCTTCTGGAACAGTAAATTTACTCTGCTTTTGCAGAGTAAATGTGGATAATCCAACTTTTGCAGTTTGTTGGTTTTGTCGCCATTCCCAGACGGATAGATGTCAATAATTTTGGTACTCAACTGTTCTTGATTTTTTTTTTTAAGATTGGGGCGTGATTTATTGCTGTTTGTGACCTTTCAGTTTACTTTATATTGTAAGAAATATTTTTTATTTAACTGATTACTTAATTGTACAGGTCTGGGATTAAATGTGTTTAGTTTTGACTCACAAAACTGAGCAAGATCTAATTGGTTAACCAAAACTATTTCCATCCATTCATTTTCTAATACCCTTGTCCCCAGTGGGGTCAGGAGGTGCTTGTGCCTCTCCAGCTAATGTTTTGAGCGAGAGGCAGGGTCACCCTGGACACGTCGCCAGTCTGTCGCAGGGCAACATGGAGACAGACAGGACAAACAACCATGCCAAAACTATTTTATAATTTCAAAAGTATGCTGCTTATATATAATTTAAAAATGTTTGTTGAACATTGAAGTCAGTTTGAGGATCTGAAAAATGTAAGCGTGACAAAAAACAAAAGCAAAACAGAAGAAGCTTATAAAGTGACAAGTGTTTTTTCAAGGCACCACATGTGGGTTATTGGTTGTTTCTCACCTTAGCTGATGTCTCAAACCAGCCCAGGAAGCCTGTCTCTTTGCAGAAATTGTCCATTAGTGTTGAATTGTTGACACTGTCTTTCTTCTGGTCACATTTATTGGCGAGGAGGACTGCGGGGATGGGATTGCCATTAGCCAACTTCACTTTGCTGTCCAGGTCATGCTTCCATTTAGACACGGCTTCAAACGTGGCGCCCCTCGTCACGTCAAACACAACAAATGCCCCGACAGCTTCCTTGTAGTACACCCGCGTCATGTTTCCAAATCGCTCCTGCCCTACAGGGATGGAAAGAAAGAATGACATATTTATATGTGGCTGAAATCTTGAAAGAGGGCTATAGATTTAGAATAATACAAGATTTTAAATATTTTTCAGATCCTTTTAAGAGTGGGTGTCATTACAAAGATATTATAGGACTACACACAGATAAGCACAGAATTATAGTTCACTCTTCTTTTTAAACTCTAAATCAATGAGAATTGACACAGTCCTTCTCTTTTAAAGTAGGTAAAATGAAATTGAACCCCTAACTTAAGCCAAATTCAAATCCACATGCAATAAATCATACCAGCAATTTCATTCTCTCATGAAATCCTTCTCTGTCAACATTCTGTGGGAAAATTTATGATGATATTTCATTAGAGGATGAACAAAGTTTTTCTATTTATAAATTTTTAACTAATTTCTGAGTGAAATGAGTTAAAACCCATCTCTCCCTTTAAACCCAAAAAAACCTGCTGCTTGCTACAACTCAGCATTTATATTCAGGCTGCATTCGCATGAAAATGGCTGCAAACAGTTGCAAAACTGCAATGGTGGATTTTTTTGTAATAACAAGGCGGTGCCTCTTAATTGTTATTTAATAATTGGGAGGTTTTGGAAATGGCTCATTTTCTAGACATCAAGACACATTAACATATCCCCAAAGAAATGGCAGAATTTTTTCTTTTTTAGCTCTTGAACACTTTCTAGAAGCAGCACAGCAGTGATTAGATTGAATCCATGCATACAGGGACTCCAATGATTTGGTACATAACATAACATTTTGTTCTATTGCTCCAATTAAAGAATAAAGACTTTACAGTTAGCGTATTGACGAAAAGACAGCCAGTATATTGTCACAAAAAGGAAATGGGTTTAGAAAGGGACTGAGGAAGTGTAAGCAGAGTTCCTCCTAGCACACTTTCACTTTGCAGTATAGGTGCCTTCCCAAGCTCGCAAAAAATTGGAGAGGTGTGTTGCAGTGTAGGTTTGCGAGAGAGAGTGAATCCACTGTGGGGCCCACAGGCCTAGTGGTAATTGCTCATAATTGAGAGTCTAATTTTAGCTCATATAACCCCAGGTGAATTCACCAGAGACACGACACAGTGGGATAAAGAGCCGATGGACTGAAAATAAGGCTTTTATTTCCAGGCCTTGTACAGACCGTACGTCCAGAACTGAGCAGGCCAGGGCAGAATAAAGACTAAAATAAAGGACCTCATCATTCTCTGTGAACCTCTGCTCTGTTTAATGGGCTTGCTGAGTAAAATTCAACAATTATGCCAGAATGGGTTGACATTTTCTCACAGCATCATCACTGTTAGTTGATGGACTGGGGGAGGAGAACTCTGGGGAACATCTCAATTCAGCAAACTAACTTTAGGCAGTAGGCATAGCAAGCACAATAAGGAAGTACAGCCACATTCAAAAGTTTAAAATGTTATAAACATTTTGCCACCTTAACATCATGAATGGTGAAAGCATTAATAAGAGTCTCCCTCTATTCTATCTTTGGGGATGTGAGTCGACCAGAGCCAAGTGAGACGAGATTGGAAGTGTCTGTCATAGGCAATTTTCAAGCCTTGCCACGGATTAAGTGAATTTAGCTTCACTGTGGCTCCAGAAAACATCCCCATACCACAAATCAGCCACCACATTTGACAGGGGGACAAAGTATATGTTTTTTATATTTGACATCAAAAAAGTTACATTTTAGTCTCATCCTTATTTTATGTGTTTGCTATGTCTCCTCCATAACATGCAGTAAACCCTAAACAGATTTTAGCAACTCTCAATTTTGCATCAATGATGTTGTGATTTCCACAACAAGCTATCAAGCAGAAAAATAATCTGATCAGCAAAAATTCTTCTAATGGTGCTCATACTTTTCTGCTTTATTTAATCTGTCATCTGTCATTATTTTCAAGCAAAGGAAGAGAATATCTCAACAGGATTTATCTTGTTACATAAGGAGAAAACAAAATTACACCGCAAACATTAATGAGTGTCATATGCTGGTGGTTAACCTAATCAGCAAAAACTGAACTACATGAACAATAGAGTATTTACTCAGCGGATCCCACAGAGGAGCATGAGGTGTGTGCTGCTGCGTCCAATACACAACATGAAGCAACTGCCAGCAAACTAAAGAAAAACATATTTCCAAAGCTGCACATTAAGACGCAAACATTTAAAGGAAATCAGCAAGTTTCATAAGATGAACTTTTTTTTAGCTCAGTTTACCAAAGTTACAAGAACTGGTGCATGACCTCAAGTACAATTAGACATCCTGGTGAGATGCACATCAGTCAGACCTCCTGCTCAACTACTTTATGAAACGGCCAAGTTACAGCCACTGGTTAATCTGTGTTTGCTGCGTGGGAGAAACAGAAATAAAGCACAGTCTCATCATTATCTACAGACCCAGCAGCCTCTGCTTCCTCTATGGTCATACACACTCTTGTGGGTGGGTTACTATAGAAACTGTCCAAGCCAGACGTTGCAGCGGCAACAGCGGCAGCAGCCTCCATCTGTTAGGGAGCCAACCGCCTGTGACCCTCCTCATAGCCTCCACCCCCATCCCAACAGCACTAAAATAAGAAAAGCAACACAGTAGCTCTGTTTTTAAGGTAGTCTTCAGCAGGAATTCCATAGCGAGACTGTGAAGAACACATGACCGACACGTTAAAATTCCTCTGAGCAGCATGTGAGGAAAAGCTGCAGCTTACTTAAGCGCTTAGCAAAGACTGAGGGAAAAATTCCATAACTTCAAGTGCTGCGTTTCATCTTTTACATTCAACTGAATGCATTACATTCAAGTAAGTGCAACTGATGTATTAAGAGTAAGAATTAGGCGTCAGAGTTGCAACAAATCTGATCCACAATATCAAGAAAAACTACAAAAAGTAGCACCAATCTGCAATGGGCATCCTAATCTTATAGTGTGCAAATATTTCAACAATGTGGCAATATGGACTTAGAGGGGATGGATGAAAAATTAACAGTTGTGCCATTTTTCCAGTTAGTTTGCAAACTATGTATCAGTAAAGTTATGTGTAGTAAATCTATGGGATGTGGAGCAACACAGACCGTTTGTATAGTTGCTAAGTATGAATCATTAATCAGAAAAAAATACAAATATCATAGTAGGTTATTTTTACATTGTCACAAAGTGTAAATCTGAGACAATGTTTAAAGAAAATCCTGATTGAAAGCTACAGTTTAGCAAAAACATGAGTTTCATCATAGTTAAAGTACTTATTTTGTGTCACTGGTTTTGAAATACACATTTGAAAACTGAATCTTGTCTAATGGTTTAGTGTTCAGAAAATGCCATGCGTTTGCAAAAAAAGTAGACAATCTTAATCAAGTGTTATTCAAACTGAAGACTGGAGGAACACAGTGTTGCCATAAATCCTCTTAGAACATTTATCAAGTGATTGGCCCACTTTCCAAATTTTTGTTTCTAATTGGTGATCGATTAATAAAAAAAACTCAAAACCTGGATCCTTTCATTCAACAAGTGCATTAAGTTAAACTGAATTTCACAATTGTTTTGTGATAAATAGTGAAAACCACTGTAGCGAGCAACACATTGTGCAAAGATTCTCAATGCTAATAAGGAAAAACATCTGATTTGACATTTAACAAAAGTCCACATGTAAAAGCATTGCATATGCAAATGGCCTATAAACACAATCAGAGCTTTATGGCAATTGTAATAGACCAGAAAACCTACAGTGGATGTAAGGCTGAACATATAATAATCTCAAGAACTAGATGATAGATATTACTTTCAAAACATGCTATGATAATCTAAAAGCATTACATTTCATAGGTGACTCTCAACAAAAAAATAATAATTTATACTTCTTTAGCTTTCCCTCAAAAGACCCTTTTTTTTTTTTTTTGCTGAGTTTGTTCCATCTTTTAAAACTATGGTTAACAACGTGTTAGACATTAAAAGTACATCGGTATGATTTAACATACATTTTGGATTTGGTTAAGTCATGCACTTATGACAATGTTGCAAAAGAATTTAATTAACTTAAATTGAAGTATTGCATACTCCGTGCCCTTAGAGAATTTGCTGAACATGAAAATCTCACATCCTTCTGAAACTTGTGTTGGCTGAGAGCAAAAAAAAAAAAAAAAGAAATAAATCCCCAGCAAAGAAAGTGCTCATCTGCATGTCTAAACTGTCTGTATCCTGTTTTTGGGTATTCACCTTTCCACTGGAAAGTTTTGACTGTTCACCCCAGAAACCCCAGCACCTTGTAATCCCTGAAAGAAAATCCAGGCATTTAAAGACTAAGTGACCCTTAGGTTTGACTCTAAGTACTTTTAGGTTTGCCAAAATATTTGAGCAGATTGTAAAATGTGTGGATTGATGTTTATTTCTTCCAAGAATGTCTCCAGCATGAGGATGGCAATAAAGACCTTTGCTGAAATATAGTTTCATCCCCCAACTTTTCTCATTTTATACAATTGTGATCTTCGACAGCAGGAACTTGAACTGGTGTTCCGACGTACTTATGCTAAATGCACGGAGTAAGCAGTTTGACTGAAGGACCGTTTAGCCAATCACAACAATGGTCTCATTTTCTGTCAGAGACAAGAGAATTATAGCTGCTCTTCTGCTAAGTGCGGACGGTGTGCTTCAGGTTAGCAAAGGCTACAGTAGAGTGAGGTTTGGAAAGAAGAACAGTCATGTCGAAAGAAATGGCATCTCATCTGTCTGATCTAATCTATTGCTCAATTGGCTTTTAGTGTATGCAGCACATCTCAGCAGTTTTCAGCCGTTTTGATTTATTTATCTACAAATTGATCTGAGCTGTAACTTGTTCACAGGAAGCAGCGAAAGTAGAGCAGGGATTTTTTTTTTATCTCCAAGGGGCACCAGTGTTGTCATTTTATAGACTTCACTAGAAAAACCTTTTGAAGATACCTTACAGTCTGTGCAACTTTCAAAAAGAAAGGACACCAAGTGACCCTCAGGCTCAGTCCTTCTGCT